GTCTCGAAATATGTATTGCTTCATTGGTCATTCACTAGCACACAAGTGTGCCTTGTCCTTAAGCATTATTAAAATAAATTCAGCAACCATAAGGAATAAATGCAACCATAACAAAATCACAAACAGTCTTGCTTGGAAAATACGTTTCTGTAGCTGCCATACTTGCACTAAGCATTCCCAGCATGAATAAAGCAAATATCGTTGTAAAACTGTAATTGTCCCTTTTTTCATTTGTCGCTGTAAATTCAACTACCAGATCGTCCACTAGCTTTGCTGAAGACAAGTCGACGAAAACATAAAAGCACACAGAGCACTTAGCTAGTCATATATGGGTGACATGATGCGAACAACTGCAATTCTCTTTACTGTTGTTTATTACTGAGGTATGCCTTTATCCCTTTGTTTTGGATTTATTTCTTATCAACTATGCCACTTTATACTATGCCCCCATAAGTACAATGATATCAACAATTGACAGCTACCTCTAGTCTAGCAGATATAACTTTTAAGAGTACACTTGTGGACATGAATTTACATTGCACCTTTTGGTGTGTAGGGATTAGGTTTTATAAGGCAACGAATATCACACAAAGCGAGTCGCCATAGCTCATGATCCCACAGTGTCACACGCTTAAATAAACCGAGGTGACATCCCACTCCGCAATAAAAGCAGTAATGATGCATCATTTATGGAGGATGTGATTGAGTATTCCTTAAAACAGTAGGAGGATGAATAAGGTCCTTTTTACACATTTACATAAGCCATGCTCCAGGTTAATAGCCTTTGTGGCATTTACAAAGTTTCTTATGGTAATTTCCTTGTAGCGATTCAGATCAAAGACGAGTGAGCTTTTTCATACCAAGGCTGACTTTGCTTACAAAATCGATTTAAGTATTTGTATACAGACGACTACATAAATTAACTGTTTTCCTAACCTTGCTTGGAATGCTGGATATACTGCTTGATACATACATTGCACAAATAATGCAAAGTTAAACATTATTGTTCCGTATGGCCAATATAGCCTCCTCGTAAGAAATAAACATGGACATTACTGCTATTTATAGACAGTAGGCGTGTCGCTTGAAGACAGCAAAAGGTCGAAAATCAGGATCAGAAACGATAAGTTTTACATAAGGAGAGAATTCTGGGGTAGCCCGTGCCAAATAAATGAACGTGTGTAGATACTTTGTAAACCTTCTCCTCCTTTTTACGACTTTTCTACTGCACTAAGATAACTTTTAATTATCATAGGTATAGCCATCAAGCAAATGCCAGGCTCTTAACAAGGGAAACAAAATCAACTT